GGAAACCAGAAGCGCCTCCCACGGCCCATCCCGGAAGGGGGCAGCCGGGGAGGGGCAAACACTCTCGGAGCAGCCCAGGCGGTCCGGAGGCCACTGCGGCGTGGCCTGGGTTCTCCTGCAGAGGGAGGGCGCCTGGGACATTCTGCCGGCCACATTCTGGCTGGAAAGGATTAGACTTCAGCCGCTGGAGGCCAGAGTGGGATCTTGCTGGAGGGTTAAGAGGCATTACAGAGGGATGAGAAGCCTTAATCCCAGGGAGAGGCATCTTTCAGGACTCCGGAAATCCCATGGGTCCAAGGAGGGCAAGCTGGGAGGCAGGGCCAGTGGGGAGGCACCACTTCCTCCCAGTATTCCCATGGCTTCGGGAGCAGGGCGGGGCAAGGCGGGGGGGGCAGAAGCCGCTATTCCCAGAGGGCTGGAGGCCAGGGAACACGGGGGGGGCATGCCTGAAAACAGCGGCTGGGAAGCGCATCAAAGAAGTGTGCCATTTCACTTGCGTGCCGCTTGCATCGGGTCGGCACACGGCGAAACGGGGGTCTGGACTGGGTGGGCTTTCGATCTGAGGGTCTTGGGGAGGATGGCAACAAAAACAGGACAGCTGCTCAGACCCACGGCATGACTAAAACAACGAACAGAGACTGAGCCGATCCCAATTCACTCTTGCTAAGAGGAAGACCAAACCGAAGACAGGCAGATGTCCTAAAGCAGGGGTCCACAACCTTTTTCACCCCGCGGACCGGCTGGGGAAGGCGGGGCACCCCCTGCACTCGTGCGCATGCACGAAGAAGCGTGTGTGCTCATGCACATGTGCAAACAGCAGCATGCCGCTTGTGCAGGCACTCAAACACATGCACAAACAATGGTGCAGCGCTCGCACGGGAGTGCTGGAGCGTGTGCACATGCACAAATCAGCTATGTGTGGGGTGTGGCGGGAGGTCTGTCTCCGCGGCCCAGTGAGGCTCAGGCCACGGACTGGCGGGTGTGGCGGGAGGTCTGTCTCCGCAGCCAAGTCAAGGTTCAGGCCCCGGACTGGCACCGGGCTGCGGACCCAGGGTTGGGGACTTCTGTGACCTAAAGGAAGCCACAGGGTTGAGACAGCAGGAGCACAACAGGGCCAGTGAGGATGGCCAGTGTCGGGAGATAGCTCGTTCATCAGGTCCCCACGAGTTCGGAGCGACCAGATGACGCACCACCCCCCACGACGAAGGCTTGAACTTGCCAGGCTGGCCCTCGCCAAATCCACCCCTCCCAGTGAAACCGGCGGTAGAGCGGAAAGGCCCAGCGTGAGGCCCGTTGCCCAGCTTACCGTTACTGTGGTTCCCTGCCTGGAGCGACGGGGTGGGCTGCAGGCTGCCCCCCAGGTTCCCGTAGCTCCGGTAACTGTAGTTGAGGCTCCCGTTGATGTAGACAGGCTCTTGCGAGAAGGACGAGGCGGGCAGTGAATAGGACGCGTGGGTGACGGCGGCCGAGTCCCGGGCGTGCTGCTTGTCCAGGGCAACCGGCTCGTCCTGCAGCGGAAGGAACCGCAAGCTTAGAAAGAGGCGCTCCCCGGACCCCCTTTTAACGGGCAGGGAGTCCAAGCCCAGCCGGGCAAGAGGCCGAAGGAACGCAGGACGCCTTGGGGGAGAGGCCCCCGTCCAGTGCCTTCTTCCCCATGACGGCCACCCTCGCTGGGGCAACACACAGCCCTCTCGCCCAGGAGGGGGGGCTACTCTGGCGGGTCCCTGGAGACCTACTTCAGGTCACCTCTCTCCAAGCTATCCAAAAACCAGATGGGATCCAGCCTTGTGATGGAAAGGACCACCCCCCCTCCCCATGGTCCTTCAAGCACCTTGTTCTAGACCCTCTCCACACCAGCTTGGGATGGGGACATGAGCAGGTGTGCACGGCTGCCACCATGCCCTGCTCGGGGGTTTTTTTTCGGAGGCCCATCTAGCTGGCCACTTCCTAAGCAGGACATCTTGGCACGGAGAGGTCCCGGGGCTGGTCCAGCCTCCTCTGGGCACTTCCCGGGTTCCTTAGACAAGGAAACCAACTCACCCCCGGCCTGATCATGGCCTCCTCTCTGCGCCCACCTAGGACCAACCGGTCTGCCAGCCTTGCCAGCTCTGCCTAGCACCAGCCCCCCCACCCTGACCCCCCAGAACCTCCATAAAGAAGAGGCTTCAAGAGACAGGCATCAAGTCCCTCCAGGACCCCCTTGCGTGTCAGCGGGCAGAGCTGCCGCTGAGGATGGGACCCATCCGGTGCATCGTTCCCACTTTTCATGTGACCCCGGAGCAAACTGCCCTAGAGCACAGAGTGCAATGGGGCACAGAGGCTCAACCTCTCTGGAGAGGACTGCCGGACGTGGAAGGGTCGTCCGATGGTCAAGGTACCCTCCTCTCCTGTG